CGTGCTGAACACTGGAATTTGACACAACACTGTAAAATGATTATAAATTAATAAAAAATGTTAAAAAAAAAGAAAAGAAAAGAAATGGAGGTGGCAGAAAGGACAGAACTTTCAGGAAGCCTGATGGTAAGGAAGAAAAGAGCCACAGGACAGGAAGAAAGACAGCTTAAGGATGAAGTTTTGAAGGCCACAACAGAGGCTGACACGGACCACAGAAAGGTGGAGAGGCAGCGAAACCATGAAGGTGACACACACTTAATTCCAACTAGTGGGCTGAAGAATCACAGATCCCAACTGGTATCTGTTCCCCTTCCCAGGGCAGAGCTCTGTCTGATGTGTGAACAGACTCCTATCAGACCATAGAGACCACTGCACACCCTGTGTGCCACGAACTGTCAACTGTGCTGGCCGCTTTATGAGCACTGGTTCCTCTGGGCCTTGCAGCCCTTCTAAGAGGTAGATGCTGTCACCACTTTCATTACACAGATGAGGAAACAGGCCTGGAGAAGTTAAACAATGTGCCCAAAGACATAAAGCTCGTAAGTGTTAGAGCCCGGACTTGTCAGGCCTGCCCGCCTACACACACTAAGCTCTATGTCAAAGGAAAGAGGCAGCTTAACAGAGGGTTGAAAACAGGCATTCCTGAAGAGGACTGATGGCGTCCCCATGTATGCATTAGCCTTAAAGTGGGGAGCATGGCTGGCTCTTCCCTGTCTGCCCTGAGCACTAGGTAAGAAGAAGTGAGCTTACAGCTCAAGAGACAGACCTGGGAGAGTCGTAAAGAAAAGCTTACTGGAAGTGAATGTATGGGATCATGAGAAGGCTGATGGTGCAGGAATCCTTGTGTGGAGATCAAGCAGTTTCTCTCTGGGAGTGTGTGAAGTGTCCTGTCCAGAGGCACTTGGCCATTACACCGGGAATACAGACAAGCAGACTACGGCCAGGACCTCTTCTCCCCTGAGAACAGGCGTTCTCTGCGGAGAATCCATGGCTTCTCTGGGAGAGTCTGGACAAGGCTCAGGGGAACTCTGAAACCCCTGCAATTGTGTGAAAGGTCGTGTATGTGTGGTGTGTGTTCACAGATCATCACTGGGGGAGAGGCTTTCAGCAGATTCTCTGGCGAAGAACCTGGCCCTGCCTTGGAGCCCAGGAGGAGAGAGACTCTAAGCACCAAATGTGCTTCTAGAACTTAGTGGCACAGGAAGAAAACAGGTGGTGGAACCAGACAGGACACCACAAGACTTCCTGAGAGCGTCCTGCTCATCCCTGCTCCCAGCCCCCCTCATGCCCCATACAGGCCACCACCCACGTGGGAGCCAGTCTCCCCAGGCGGGCCCCACCTGGATCTTCTCTTGGCGACGCTGCTGCTCGGCTATCTTCCTGGCCAGAGCCAGCTTCTTGGCCCGAAGCTCCCTGATGTCATCCTCGCCCCCGCTGCCTTCAGCCTCTGAATCTTCCTCAAAGTCTTCAATCACCACGTCCTCCTCCTTTGGTGGTGGCACAGGCCAGGGGAGAGAGGAGACTGTGAGCCCAATGCACTAAGAACCCACTCTTCTGTCCCTCCCGCTCTCCAACCCAGGCTTATGCTGACCACTCAGTGCACAGGGCCCTAAGGTGGGTGCCTCCCTCTGCTCAGCAAAGGGGATTCGAGAGGAGCCATCACTCCCCCTGCCTCAGCAACTACTCCCTCTTGCACTCCAGGGGCCTCCTCTGACAGACTCACACACCCACAGGGCATCTACTTCCGTGCCCACACTCAGCCCTTCCTTCTTCACACACACTCACCAGGCCAAACTTTGCGCCTATTTTCATCTTGAAATCACCAAAGGGGAAAACAACAGCAAACATTAAACCACCCACTTTAAGTCTAGTTCATGCTAATGGTCTGATAGGAATCAATCCTGGCCAACAGCTGGGAGTTAGGCGTGGAAGCTCCGCTGCCTCAGACGTGTCAGGGAGCAGATGCTGTAGCTCAGCAGACCTTGCCCTGGTTTCTTTTTAAGACCACAGCCTGGCGGTGTGGGGGCTGGGGGCCCCATGACAGGAATTCACATGACATGACCTTGCTCAGCTGCCCTCCGGGGCCCTGGACAGACTGGGAGATGGCTGGCTAGCTGAAGGGTCTCCAGCCAGGCTTGGGCGGCCTTCCCCAGGGATGGCACCTCCCTGCTTGCAGCTTCAGCTCTTAGAAGCCACTGCTCCCCGGGTGGTCCCAGGCTCCATTCCTCACTCTTCCACTTCTGGCCTTGGTCAGCAGAGAACATGCAGCTGCCCAGGAGAGCTGCCTTTGAGGGACAGGGTTAGCGTGGGTGACAGGGAATAATTTAGCAGGAGTGGATTCCTGTGTCTGGATGATGACTGATGGTGACAATGACAATGATTATGACAATAGCAGCTACCATTTACTGAGAGCTTATTATGAGGCCAGGTACTGGGCTAAGCGTTTTTTTAGGTATTAACTCATTTAATACAACAGCCCGTGAACAGATGCCATCATCTCCCTATTTTACAAATGAACAAACTGACATCTAGAGAGTTAAACTATCTGCTCAAGGTCAAAAAGCTAGTAAGTGGCAGAGCAGGGATTTGAATGTTCGTGAGCTTGATTCCAAAGTGTGTGCACTTACTAATAATATCAAGCAGCACAGGCGTGGTCCTGGATCTCAACAGTAAGCTCAGACCCAGCCTCAGTGGCTCGGCTTCTCCAGGCCTCCTGCAGGCCCACAGGGACCTGTTCAGTACAGACTGCTCTCTCCTCTAACCACGCATCTCAAGATGATATTCCAACAGACTCTCTTGGCTGAAGGTGGTTAGTGGAGTGTGTGAGTGGGGAGGTGATACTCTGTCCTGGGAGGAGAAGACAGGGTGGGATGACAGGTGTTTTGACAGCATCTCTAAGGAACTGGACCCTGTTCTGTTCATGAAGAATGATGTCTGAAGAAACAGCTCCCCCTTCCTCTCCCAATCAGCTTCAGTGACTCAGACTTGCAGTCTGGGGAGATGAGATCTCAGGATGGGGCCAGAGCTGCCACTACCCTAGAGGTCTCAGGGGTCTGCGGTGCAGTCACCACTTATCTGTCAACTCACAGGCCCTAGTGTCACAGGGTCCACTTCCAGAGAGGCCAAGGCCATGGGAAGGAGGCAGACTCTCTCTCCACATTTATTCACGGGGTTAACCTGGACAGGAGTGAGTGGAGTACGATCCCCAGATGGCCTGTGGGGGACACTGCCCCTGCCTGCTCTGATCAAGGATACACAGAGTTATCACGAGGCTTGGACTGAGCCTGAGGTCAAAAGATGGTCAGCGAGGCTTGTCTGAGGTTGGCTCAGCTCTCATAGCAAACGAGGAAGTGCAAGGTTATGAAATTACACAGACCAGGGTAAGTAGGGTTTCCCAGGGGCCACTGACATAAAGGAACCCAGGAGGCTCGTGGGAAAAGGAAGAAGTGGGCAGCTTGGCGTAGGTCACAACCTTTGTCTGGTCAATAAGCCTAAGAAGAAGGGAGAGAGTGTGACAAAGCCAAGACCTGGGACCGAGAGCCGGTCTGTTCCTTGTGAGAGCGGAGGAGCCCCTTGCTGGCCTCACTGGATTTGGTACTGCAGGCTCCATGGGCCAGAGGGCATCTCCATGGCAATCCTGTAGAGCCACCTTGCTCACCTGCCACCGCTTGTCTCAGCCTTAAAGCATGGGTGAGAAAGCTGACCATGGCATCACCCCAACCACGCCTCCCACTCAGTGCCCAGGGCTCGGGTGGCACTGCCTCTGTTCCGCCTGAAGCCTGGACACCCTACGGCTTTAGCAACCCCACTGTCTCCTCCCATAGTGACAGCTCATTCTTTCCTGTTACTCCCTGCCCAGGTTTCATCTGGAGAGTCTGGAATCATGGGCTCAGCTTTATCCCTGGAACCACCTCTATCCTGGAAGCTGAGCCCTGTGTCATCAGGGTTGGGGTGGGGTTCTCCAGCTATTCTAATGAAGCCCGTCCAAGACTTTGCTGCTGTGAAGACTCTGAACCAAAGGTGGCCACTTTATCACTGCTTCAGATCACAAACGACAGCTTCCAGCTGACATCTGGCTTCCCTGGCCTGGTGCTGATTTCATCCCTGCACCCCACCCTGCTCCACCAGGCGCTTGAGACTGCTGCAGGCCAAATGACTGTGTTGGCCTACGGGTGACCTGGCCTCTGGCTAGAATTGCTTCCGTCGCTTCCTTGAGTCCCACGTTCCTTCCCACCTAAGTCCCCTCCGTCTTTAACACTGTGGGGTAAAAAGAAGGAAAGAGACAACCACCAGGCAAAGTGAGCTGTGTGTGCACACACACCCAGACAGTTACCCACACCCAAACACACAGCAGGGCAGCTGGCAGCGACAGTAAACGCATACATGCACTGACACCATCCCACACGCACATCTACTCAGAACCCCCAGACAGCGGGGCAGCTGGCAGCAGTGTTCCGCTTACACTGACACACAAACCAGCACGTACAGAACCACGGTGACCACCACCCCCATAAAGATACATCCATGCATCCAAGGCAGGGCAGCTGCCTGTGGGGTCTGGCAGGGATGGGCATGCAGGCTGGTGCGCGCGCACACACAGTCTGGAGTGAAGCAAGGGCTACAGGAACAACCAAGGGCAAACAAACAAGAGGAGAATTCCTTAATCACATCAGGATGTGCAGGAGGGAGGGAGGGAACCAGGGAGGGAGGGCAGGCAGGGAGGGGGTGATTTTCCACACGGGGCCAGCAATGTCAGCTCTTCCTGTACGTGTGCTGGAGGCTGCAGTTCAGGCCTGTGCTGCACTGAGCTCCGCACATCCATAAACTTGATCCTCGGCCTGAACCATAACACCCCCCCACTCCCTTTCCTAAGCCTCCAGAGCTGCACATTATTAAACTCTTTCTTTCCCTCCCTTCTCCTCCAATGCAACATTAAAAAGAAGCATCTGGAACTCGTAGCAGAGTGAGATGGAGGCACTGGGGTGGGACTGGCAGGAAGGGGCACCAGCAGAGTGCAGTCTTGAGAAGCTGGCTGGTCACGTCAACAGCACCACTGCTGAATGGTTATAAATAACCAGGGGTAGACGCCGAGCCCCGGGCAGAGCAGGGCAGGCAGGGGGACGGCCTTCCCTCGGCCACAGCGGGCTCTTCCCGCTTAGTACCTCATCTTCCAGTTGTTTTCCCTCTTGGCTTCCCATTTCCTTTCCCATGGTGTCTGGGACGGGTGCCACTGACACATATTTTCCACCCTTGAATGCCAGCAGAGGCTCTTCTTGTCCACAAAGGGCTTCCAGAAAATACTTCAGCACCGTGACCCTTTTGCAGTCGGCTGCAATAACCTACAGGGCAAGAGGGAGAGAAGAAAAACAGCATTTTCTGAAAGGGAAGATGAGAGACACTGCTTGCTGGCTAAGGGGCACAGGAGAAACGTGTCAACTGGGCAAGGGAGGCGGAGAGAGGGAGCGGGAGCATGTGTGCATGAGGTGGGGTTGAGGGCCGAGACCTGAAGGGAAAAAGTCACCGCCATGTCCCTCCAGGCCCTCTCTGAGGCAGCAGACAACCCGAGGACCAATGACAGGTGTCCTCTGGGGTTCTGCCTTTCTTTTACTAAAGTCCTGATATCAAAAAAGAATAAATTAAATTCTTCTAAGTTTGGTATCTGACAGAAGGAAGGGTGGAGGGCAGAACGCCTGCTTGCACAGAGCAGAGCTTTCTAGTGCCCTCACTGTGACTGTCCACTTGGCTCCCAGTTTCCCTCTCGCCAGATTCCCAAAAGGAGAACATTCAGCCTGAGTGCAGAATGAATGATGAGGGCTTTCTTGGCTGTTTCATTTCAGCCAGATCATTTCGGGGTTCCCCTGACAGGTTCCTGCCCCACCTAAGAGCTTCTCGTGCTCAAGAGACTGGGGTCCGGCAGGAAACCGTTGTCAGGAGGAGGGAGACAGGCAAAGCAGGTGGGAGGGGTCTCACCACGCTCTGTTTCTCCAGGGGCTCAGGCCATCCTGCTCCCATGTGGCCACATCAGCACATAAGCCAATGCCGTCAGAGAAGCCGGGGCTGATTTAGCCGAAATGAAATTCAATATCTTGAGTAATCATCAAATTTGTAAGTGTCTCAGATGAAGTTTCCACAGTCACCCTTGTCTGGGGTCTCTCTCTTGCGAGACCACACACATGTGCCGGCACCTGCAAACCCACCTGCTCTGCACCTCCTCATGCCCTCTTCTTCATCCCCAGCCTCTGAGGTCCCCTCCTCCCTTCTCAGGGCGCTCACCAAGGGAGAAGAGGTTTGATCTGTATCTCACAAGTGGTGAGGGCCATTCCCAGAGGGAAACACTTCAGTGGCCAGATATGCCACAGGGTAGCAGACCCTCCACCATCACTGACTACCACATACTGGGTATCCCCCAGCTGCCCCCAGCCTCATGCTTTCCATCCCATCATGTGACAGGGACTTCCCTGGCTGTCTGACACAGTAAAGCACTAACACGGAGACTGTCTTTCATTGTCTGCTCATTGTTTCACAGGTGCATGTCATCACCCTCGCCTGGATAATAACTCCCCTGGTGGCGGAGACTACCTCTCATACTTCCCTGGCAAGGGTGCTAAAGACAAATGGGGCACTCAGGAGGCTCACGGTAAGGACTGACAAGCACAGGGAAGCTTGGCTAGATACCAGAGGAAGGAGATAAGGCAGGTGTGACCCATGTCCTCTAGGACACCGTGGAAATGAGCACCACTCTGGCAGCTGGCTGGCCAAGCAACATGCAGCACACAATGGTCAACCATGTGCTCCGTGACCCCATCCCCTGCCACCTTTCCCAGCCAAACCTACCACTCTCCCTGCCTACGAGTGGCCCTTGCTCACCCCACCAATGGCCTTGGTAGTAACAGAACATGAATCTAATGCTAAGTACCTCGACCACCTGAGAGGCTGACCTAAAAGGTGCTCAGCTACCTGGAAAAGGCTTATGGAAGGAGAACTGCCTTGAACTTGGGGTGCCCAGTCCTGGGCTTACCTCCTTGAAGGAGGAAAGAAGCCCTTGTTGGGCCAGGGCAAGTAACCATGGGTTCCATCGCGTGTATTTAAACATGTGATGAGGAAGGCTAGAAATACAGAAGCAGGGGCTAAAAGGCATTAAAGAACAGAGCTGAAATGAGTAATAGCCTGGCAGGCAGCACGCACAGTGGCCTCCCTGCATCCCCAGTCTCTCACTTGCAGAGGAAACTTCTGCATTTCCACAAGACTGCCAGTTTCCTCTCTGTGGTCTAATTTTAACCACCTTGTCGTTACAGTGTGTGTCAGCCACCTGACCCCTCTATGACCTCTGACCTTATGCCCCAGCTACTGCTTGCACTATGGAGAATTATGTAATGGGTCCAGGACTTTCCTTTTCGGTGTGAGGCTGCTGACACTGAATGGAGTGGAGGTGGGGGCTAAGGGATGAGAGGAGGGCAGAGAAAAAGTTTACACTGGTCCTTGGCATCACCTGGTGAGAGGTACGCTGGCACTCCTGCTGAGTGTGCAGCAGAAATCTGCCCAGGAGAGGAGAGTATGGCCGGTGTGTGCGCTGACAGGCAGGCAGGAGAATTCCCGCTGGGGTGGAGGTGGGGCTGGATGGCATGCTGAATGGCTCAGGAGGAAAGTGTGATTCCTGGCCAAGAGGGAGAAAGGCCATATGTGTGGACGTGGGACTCCTGGAGATGGGGATTTCCAGGGCACAGCGGGACTCAGGGATGCAGACATCCTGAGCCTGCCCTCTGCACATCCTTAGAGGATCAGGGGGAATTGTCATTCGCATGGACACCAAAACAAAAAGGAGTGCCACTTCCCCCTACCATTTTAATGTCCACCCTATTTAGAAGGAACCTGGTTTCCTTGGGGATTCTGTCTGCTATAGCCATCAGTTCCTCCCAGAGGGCAAGGGAACTGCATGATTCTCAAAAGGGCTTTGATGGTGGGGGAGGGGGTCTCTGAGTTGGTGTTAAGAGTCCTGAAAAGAATTCTACCTGTTTGGAAAGAGAAAAGTCAGGCACTCAAGCCTTTTGGAAAAGTGTCCTCTCCTTTGCAATCCAACTAGAAGGGAGGACAGCCAAGGCTGTACAGTCTCCCTAGCTTTCGAAGTGCACTGGGGGTATGAGGAATGGGGCTTGAGCTACTGAGGAGATGGGGGAACTGAGAGACAGAAAGTCTAGGGGTTGTCCAGGGGCACAGAGAAATCTTCTGTCTCCAGCTTGCTGGCCTGTCTGAAGCATTCTGCTTTCAGGTAGGAGGGGTCAGCAAGTGGGGTTGAATCCTCCTAGACAAAGCCTCTAGCACTTGAGTTAGGGAAGAAAAAAAGTTTAAATATGGTTAATAAGGGACATCACAAAGGAAGAAGCCCTATAAATCACCCACAAAGAGCCAACCCCAAGATGATCTTTGTTTGACCAAGGAGGATTTCCTGGTAGGAGAGGGGTTAAAGCTAGGCTCCCTGCTTGGAGAGGAAGGAGTCCAGATGAAGTCTATGACATAATCCCCACAATAGCTCTGTTCATGAGTACATTTTTCCATTCTATATCAATGAAAAACAGAGAATGTAAGTGGTATGCACATTGTAGCTCTGGGCAAACTCTGGAGTCTCTAGAGGAGAAAGAGCTGGGCAGGATAGGCCTCCTTCCTGGGCTGTTAACAGGTGGGGCTGGACTGGGGCTGGAGATGAGTAAAAGGGTTGCTGGCCAGGGAATACCCTGGGGAACCAGAGACCCGGCACCTTCTCAGCAGCAGTCACGCTCCTTCTGTAGGGACTCACTGAGTAGGAGACAGTCAGGAACTCCAAGGTTAATGGACAAACTGTCTCACACAAATCACTCCAGTAAGCTTTGAAAAGAAAACTGGGGCTCTGGGTCAGGCAAGAGCTGAGAGAAAGACACTCAGAGAAAGCCCCTTTCCCTTCCCCTGAAGACCATCTGAGGCAGCTTGCCCCACCAGTGGGAACTGAAACCTCTAGCTTCAGGGCCCCAGCTATCACTCGGATCAGGCCCACACGCAAAGAACTAGGCAGAAAGGAAAACTGAAAGTGAGATGTGGCAAGGCGATACGGGAGCGTGTCTTGTCCCAGGCTCAGTTCCTTACACAGCGGTAACGTGAGCATGCACAGGTAAGTGGAGGCTGGAGCTCAGAGGAAGGCTAGGTCTTGAGGAAAGCAGGAAGAGATCTCTAGGACGAGAGAGAAGAGGGAAGGCCGACTGCGTTACAAGTCTGGGGTATCTTAGGTGGGGTGGTGGATAAGCAAAGAATGGTGTTCTTTGAAAACACTGGTAAGTCTCCACAGCCACTTGGCAGGGAACCAGCCCAGCCTGGGCAGAGATGCCCAGGAAGGAACAGAAAAAAGAGATCTAAGCTGTCTTATGGAAGGTGGCGGAGGGTGAGAGAGAGAAAAGGAACTGAGTATCAGGTACCACAGACGGATGTCGTCTGAACTACAAGACTTAACACCAGCCGTGGGGAAGGGAGAAAACCCCCGATCCAGCCAGGCAACAGGAGGAGCTGAACCAGGCCTATGCTCCAGGGAACGAGGGACTCACTCCGTCTTTACTGGGTCCCTGTTTTCTTCAAACAGGCCTCCTGGAAGGCACAAGCACTATAGCGGCTGGTTAGATTTTTACAAAATTTCTCTTTCTGAACTTTTGGTCTGAGGGAGTCAGAATTTAAACTTGCACTATCAGCCAATTCTATTTTTTCTGGTCTTAAAAGGTCCTGCTTGCTACTGCTCCTCTGGTTACAGAGAAAAAATCACACGGGTTTTCCCTACAAACTCAAGTTTACAGGTTGTTTTTCTTGTTTCTCTAAATGGAGCCAATTATTCTCACATTTGTTGAAACCTTCAATCAAACTTTATAGCTTGTTAATTTTACAGAAATGTCCTTAGAGCAAATAAGATGCAGACAGAAAAGTAAAGTCTTGTTGAGATTATTAAGAAACCTTAAAATAGCCCACAAATCCACTACGAAGGCTGGTAAAATACAGGCTGCTTGGCTGGCTTCTGAGGTCAATTAGCAATGGGTTAATTATCATATTTAATGAGCCAAGCCTACAGGATTGGCTACAAGAAACTGAACTCAGACTAAAGTGTTTTCACAAACTAGGAACCTCCAGTTATGCATGACTCGCCCTCACAGGAGACTGAAGGGTGGGTAGGAAATTTCTATAGTGGCCAAGGGTGTTATCGCCTGAGGAGAGGTCTGCCAATGAAAGTTCAGACACAGGGAATCCTCTGGAGCTGGAGGACAGAGGAAATGGTTTATTCCCATTCCTAGGGGGAGGGGCGTCCAGGCAGGCTCCAGAGGCAGGAGGGAAG